TAGTGCCACCGCAGAAACGTGACGACTGTGCAAAAATAACTACATAAAAGACACCACTGTTACAGAAAGACTTTACACGCTATTTAAACTGCCGATCGCGAACGGAACAAACCGTGATTGAAACTAACTGTGATGCCGCTCTTTATTCGTTGCGCTAACGGTCACCTGTCAGGAGCATACCCGCCCCTTTTTAAGCGCCGGTGTTAAACCATCAACATGCGTTTCTCCGGATGGAATTTAATTGATTTCTTGGTGGTTTTTGCGATCCTCGGTCCCACTTTATATCCGAGGACAAGGGATTCGGGGCTCTAATCCCTTATTGTGTCCGAGGACCGGCAAGCCAAGGCCAAGGACCGACCTTCGGTCCTCGAGCCGGTCCTCGAGGCCAAGGACCGGCTCGAGGAACACATCCCCCGTACCACTACACCATCAGCGACTTTCATCAACTATAACAGTCTTTTTTCATCAACCATAATTGTATTACACTCAGGACATTCAAGTCACTGAGAGGTGTTTTGGGTGGTACTTTATGCTTCTTCGTAGTGGCCCCACCATGCTAGTCACACCTAAGAAAGTCTTCACATTTTTCACAGAAGATTGACGCCCCTGACCCCAGCCACATGTCAAACCTCGTTCTGCTACTTCCACCAGGGAGAATTTATCAGTCTCCTGGCTCACTTCAGAACTCCTTTCCAAGCTGTCAGGAAAATAAGGTCTCCCCTCCCCTTTTGAGAGAGACAGACTAAAAAACCCACAAAAATCTGAGACGCTTACATATGCAATACAATACAATACCCTTACTGTACCCAGCAGCCATCAGACTGGGTCACCCATTTACCCGACATTGTCCGGAAAATAATACGATTGCCTTCCGATATTGTTTTTCAGTATTTACCATCTACTGAACTCACTCCAATTTTAAATGAGATATTTTAACTCCTACTTTAATTACTGTTGATCTCTTTCGCCGTTTACATTCAGAGACAAACCTTTTTTCTTTTTGAAAGAATTTGTATCTGCGGAATTGAAACTAAAATCCATTTAAGGAGAGAAACAAACTGCCTTTCAAGCAGCCGAGACTCAAGTAGAAGAAAGAACTAATTAGCATCAAGTCATTTCAACAAAATATGTCCTTCATGTTTCAATTTTTCGATTCTGTATAATTTTGTCGCATCTATATTTTTGTAGCTAAGGACAAAGCCAACACCTATGGTGCCCACCAGCATTAAAACTGCTCATGCATATTATATTAGCACAGCCACCTTATGCTGTGTTTTCTATGCTATTGCTAATATATTATATTTATTAGAAATATATTGCGAATGCTTTATTTTATATTGCACTTATATTGAACTGTACAGTTCACAGTTCTTTTCTGAAACATTTGTGCAATGAGACACTTTATTTTTTCTCCCCCTACACACACACACAATTTTGCTGCTGTAGACTGCAAATTTCCCCAGTGTGGGACAAATAAAGGTTATCTTATATCATTCCAGGGTGAAGTACCTTGTTACCTCGTGAATAAAATAGTAGGCCACTCTCACTCACTAGTAAGTAATTATTAGACTTTTACACTATAACATGTCACATGCAAAACAAAATAAGCTTACATACATTTTTGATTGTTGAACTGTGATTCAATGACTTGCGTCTAATTTGGTATAGAACATTTGGCAAAAATGTATGATGCCTGAAAAATAGCTTGAGTGAGTGAGTGAGTGTGTGTGTGTGTGAGAAAAGCATCACGTTCTTAAAAGAACTGCTTAAGTCTTTTTTTTTTTTTTTCAGAAAACACAAAAAACTGCACCACATTCTGACAGTCTTTAATGAACAATCTGTTTAACTAAGGATGTAGTTGATTTTAGCAGAGGTGGCCGGTATCCTGAGATGTTTAAGGCAAAAAAAAAGCCCACCTTGTCAAAATTAGACTTAGGTGATTGTATTAAGAGGCCTACTATATATATAATTATTATTATAGTTAACTGTACCAATGAAAGCCTCGAGACATTTACATGGCAATAGTGTCTTTCATGCACACCCTGAAAACAGAACTGTCAAACAAGACAGACAGTTGTAGTATTCCAACTGTGTAATTTAACATGAACAAAGACCGGCCCTTAAAGTATCCACTCTGCACAATTACGAGGACTTAAGTCTTTACCTATGAAACTGTGGGTCTGCATCAACTGTTGTGTGTCCATCAGTGTTTTCATTGCTCGGGCCATTATTTATGTGGCTGTGCTCACATCCCGGGGAACCGCAGCAAACACAGGCTTCCTGCATTTGACCCATTTCATCATCATCCGCCTGTTCTCTCGTTAAAAATTCAGGCTGATCCCACAATTCCTGGCCGTCAAACACTTCTATTCCAGAGTCCCCTGTGAAGCGCCGGTACCTGCCCTGCATTGAATCCTTGTTGGTGTGAGTGCTTTGAGACTGGAGCAGCAGAGTCTCTGGGATAGCCGTGCAAGCTGCATCACTTGGGATTGGTGTTGCTGCATGGTCGCAAGATTCATCAAGTGTATCTGTGGGTGGAGGTGTTGCCAGGACAGGTGTGTAAGGTGGAGGGGGAGTAGCTGGACGGTCGATGACCTCGTCGTAAGCTGGCAACAGGTACGAGGGCAGGAATCCTGAAAAAAGACAAATAATTATTCACAGCCAGCAAATCAAATGTCCTCTTTTGTACTCTTTTTGAGCTTGCATCGATTTTTTTTTTCCTCGACACATTGACTTTCCCCAAAATAAGAAAGGCCATGTTGCTGGAGAGCTGAAAATCAAAAACATCTGCCGAGCAGTTTGATGACTGTTTTGTAAACTTTCAGTGGAAACAACATGGCTACGCTTTATGGATAAATTGTTATTGGTGAATGGGGCAGGTCCAAGTGTCTCCTGTTCAGCTGACATCAGGTTCCATTGTTGGCAGTCAGTTCCACTCTATTGCCAAAAGTATTCGCTCACTCACTCAAATCAGGAAAACACCATATAAATCTGTTGCATTATTATTTTTATTATTCCAATCCCTGCCATGAGCACACCTCTAGAAAAGACAGCGACTAGGCATTATGACTGTTTTAATAAACATTTGCAAAAGAATGCATCGCTCTCAGGAGCTCAGTGAATTCCAGCGTGGAACTGTGATTGGATGCCACTTGTGCAACAAGTCCAGTCGTAAAATTTCCTCGCTACTTAATAATATTCCACAGTCGTCTGTCAAATATTTTAGAAAAACATGGACGTGTTTGGGAATGACAACAACTCAGTCACAAAATGGTAGGCCACGCAAACTGACAGAAAACTCTACCATAATAAATAAGTTATTTTTCGAGTGACTTTCACAATGTTATTTAAAATAACATTGAAAGCCACTCAACTAAGTGGAAATAATATGACGTAAAGAATACAGAGAATAATTTTGTTCACATATTTATGAAAATAAAATAACAAATTTATGTTATTCTCAGAAAAGTAAATTTACTTTTCTGAGAATGTTTAGGCCAGCAGAGAAGGCCTTGCTGATATATATATATTTATCCACAATTTCCATCCGAGCTGCTTATCATCACGAGAGTGCTGGAGCCGATCCCAGGTGTCTTAGGGTACACCATGAACTGGTTGGTAGCCAATCATCACACCGTGAGGCGTATGTGCAATTTACTTCATGACATACGCAGTTCCCGCATCCCTTGTGAGGATAAAGCGGATCAGAAAATGGATGGATGGATAGATGGACATACGCAGTTATTTTGTTTGGGAAGTTAGAAGCAGCTATAACTAAGCATTGCTTTTGAAGAGTAATATTCCAGCTTCCCTACGAGTGCCCAGAGTGACATTGCACCAGAGGGCCAAGTGTGCCTCTGCGTGCCTCACTCATTCATGACAGCGCTGTATACTATCCACAGTCAGGGATTCATGAAATCAAATGGACACATATCCTGTACAATGCCCATCATAATCAAGCAGGAACAAATCTCAGTAAAATAATCTAAATCTAAAAAATAAATAAATATTATTTTGCTGATTTTAATTCAATAGAAAATGCCAGTTTCGTTGAAATAACTGCTTTTGTGTACTATCTCATCATCTATTTCAAACTCATGCGCTGATTTGCTAACAGCCACTCAGTGATGAATTTTCAGAGTCGACGCCATTTTGCATACTTTGATCATTCATTCGAATGACATCTAAAACGCACGATGACAGAAAAGTCTCTTAATCTTCTCAATTAAAAATGTTGCTTTTAACTGTTTGTTCCCGCTTGTATTATGAATGCGTGTGCAGGAGTTGTATGTGTGTGCATTTTATTTCATGAAACCATGACTGTGAAGAGCATGATAAAAAAAGTACTTACATATCAGTCATGCTGATCGCTCGCTTTGCAGAGGAAGTAATGAGTTTGATGGATGTCGCCTGCAAGAACTCAATGTTCTTTACTTAATGTTTATTTTTTTTGGAGCTGGCATTCGGAACAGTTATCCATGAATTTATTAAATACCTCATTCATGTAAAGTGTGCACAGAATAGCAAGGAGTCTACAGGAGTTGTATGTGTGTGCATTTTATTTCATGAAACCATGACTGTGAAGAGCATGATAAAAAAAGTACTTGATTATCAGTCATGATGATTGCTCGCTTTGCAGAGGAAGTAATGAGTTTGATGGATGTCGCCTGCAAGAACTCAATGTTCTTTACTTAATGTTCATTTTTTTTTGGAGCTGGCATTCGGAACAGTTATCCATGAATTTATTAAATACCTCATCCATGTAAAGTGTGCGCAGGATAGCAAGGAGTCGAAGAATACTGCATCCAGGTGAAAATGACAGAAACATTCCAGATATCAAAAATTTCCCCTCGATCTCGGGGTGGCCAGAGTGTCTTGGTCACCCTGTAGCTCCACCTCTGGTTCCAGACAGTCAGATGAAAGAGGACACATTCATCAACCATCGATCCATCCGTTTTCAACACTGCTTTTTCCTGAACAGGGACTATCTGTGCTAGAGACTATCCCAGCTAACTTTGGGCGAAAGGTGGACTACACCATGAACTGGTCACGTTAGTCGCAAGGCGCGTATACTGTACAAGAAATGAACAACCATTCACACCCACATTCACACCCACATTCACACCCACATCCACACCGTCATTTGAGTGGGAACCGATCCCAGTCAGGCGAGAGTACCACTCAGGGATGTGTCCAAGGACCGGCAACCCGAGGCCAAGGCCAAGGCCAAGGACTTGCCTCCGAGGCCAAGGCCAAGGCCAAGGACTTGGAAAATTTTCCGAGGCAAGGCCAAGGCCAAGGACTTGAAAAATTTTCCGAGGCCAAGGCCAAGGACCAAGGACTTGCCTCCAAGGCCAAGGCCAAGGACCAAGGACTTGCCTCCAAGGCCAAGGCCAAGGACCAAGGACTGATTTTGAAACTGAGGCCTAGCCAAGGACATGTATAAAACAATGCGATCATACCACTTGGCAGGTCCTCATGATTAACACCCCTCCATCATAACCCTTTGCACTCCCTAACGCTTGAATGAAGTGTTTTTATTCAAAGAGTAGAACAGTCAGGGTACGTGTTATTTATACTGAGAAAAAGAAATAAAATCATATGATGTACATTTTTGAATGAATGTTTTAGTGCAGTAGTTTCTCAATATGAACTAAATCAACACTCAACAGGCATGACATGGCACGGAACACAAGTTGAGAAATGACTTTGCATAGAAGTCAATCACCGACTGCAGAAAAAGCGGTAATCTCTCAGTGATCATTTTACAGTTTACCTGCAGCGAGTCCCAGGGACTCACTGATCAGAAAAGTATGAGTCTCCTTATGCATTGAGAGAGTCCCAAATTTCAAATTCCGAAATGGTCTACTTATTCAATTGCATATGATAATAACACAAACAACAACATATACATACAATTATAAACAAATGCTGCAAAAATTTAAATAATTCAGGAGCAGGCCTGAGGATTTCGGAAATTCA